TCCTCCGTAGTACGTAGCATGGAGCCATGGATGGCAATGCAGGTCGGCAGCAGCACGGCGTCCGGCCCGGCCGACTACCGGTCACATCGTTTGATCAAGCGTACCATGAGTGCACCCGAACGGACAGACAGTTACTAGCCGTGCCCTACACCCATGGACTCAGACAAAGTATTGGTCGTTTAATTTAACAGGATCCCCCTGGCCGGATCTGCTTTAGCATATAGGTCGATCGAAATCATTAGATCTATGGAGGGCGTAAATATCTCTGTCATTCCTTCGTGATTAAGCTCAGTCTTTGCGGCTTTGGGTCGCGTTCAATCAAAATCACGCAGAAACTTCAACAACGTGGTGCCAGCCCCATGAACCCCTTCTTTGTCTCATATGGGCCTTGTCGACCAGCGTTACAGTGTGGACTATGCACGACTAGAGCACGTACAATGGTATTATCTAGATAGTGTGTTCAGTTGGAAGAGAGTTCTCTTAACTGAGAGATGGTATGTCTTGTAGTGAAATAGTCATGTTAGTTTCTCCAGATGCTTTCTTTAATCATCTCATTATGTTAGGAGCATTCATACATTAATTTCTTAATTGTTATATAGTATAATTTATTGTATAACATGTTTTTCATTTTTCTAGGTGACTTGGATGCATAACAAAAACCCTCTTATAACCATCATACAAGCCCTTAGTTCTCGAGATAAGAAGCCTCTAACACATAATTTTATTGACCTCAGCCGACTATGCATGTATTGCCTTGGCATTCGGAAAACACATTTGGTTTTAGTGTATGCTTGCTTTGCTAGCTAACGTGTTGCAAGCCAAAAATTGGTGATGCCAAGATTGGCCAAAAGTTGGTGAATATATGAGGTCGGTAAGAAAAATAATGAACCAATCACTATTCAATATTTGAAAAGATTCCAAATATTGGCATGCCAATTTTCAAATCAACCCGCCGCAAAAAACAAATCAAACCGAGCATGCTCTTAGACCTTAGCTTATAGCCAACTATCATTCTTTTTCTTCAGAAACATCTCTTATTGCATTTTATGAATGCAATAAGAGATGTTTCTAAAAATGATATTAAGAAGTTATCAGATATTGCTTGCAAAAGTACCTTGTTGTATTCAAGATGTACCAAATTATGCCGGACTGCATCAAATTTACTTAGGTTTGCGGAATAGATGTGTCTAGTTTTTTTTTTTGAAAAGGGGGGATTCCCCGGCCTCTGCATCAGATCGATGCATACGGCCTCTCTTATTAAACAAATAAACAGGTTCTGAACAAAGGTCTTACAGAAAAAGGAACCAAAGCAGCCTATAGCTCACATAGAGCATCGACTGCAAGGCAGAAATGAGATAAGCCACAACCCGGCTGGCAAAATAGCAGATAGGTAAACTAAACTCCTATCCTATTACATGATCGCCATCCAAACCGGTTGAAGATATCCCGCGCTACCGTCTCCCACCGGACAGATCCAGTAACCAAACGCTCCCTGGCCTCCGTCGGAGTGAGTAAGGACCAAGTACGGATCAGCGCCGTAGCCCGGAATAACACCTGCAAAAAATGAATATTTGTTGTCCTGTTAAAAATCAAATCATTCCTGCAATTCCAAATTGCCCATAATAACGCACATACTCCTACACGAATGTGTCTGGCTGTTTCGGACTCAATCCCAAACAGCCACGCCCCAAATAACGTGTTTATCGATCTCGGTGGAGTAATATTAAAGGCAATTTGCACAATGCGCCACAACCCTTGTGCCAACGGGCAATCAAAAAATAAATGCTTGATAGTCTCATCCCGATCACAGAAACTACACCTAGTAGATCCTGTCCAGTTGCGCTTAACTAGATTGTCCTTTGTAAGAATAACTTGTTTATGCACAAACCACATAAACACTTTAATCTTCAAAGGAACCTTAACTTTCCAGACCTCCTTAGTCGTAGGTATCACAGATGAATTAATAATATCCATATACATCGATTTTACCGTGAACACCCCAGTTTTAGTTAGTTTCCAACACAACTGGTCGGGCTGAGGATTTAGCTGAACGTCCATCAGCCTACGGACCAAGTGAAGCCATGCTTCCCATCGAGGTCCAACAAGCACTCTCCTAAACTGCATGTTTACAGGAATAGACTGCATCACCGTCGCAACAAGAGCGTCCCTACGCTGAACAATACGATATAGTGTTGGATATTGTGTAGCCAAAGGCGCGTCACCCAGCCACGTATCCTCCCAGAATCGCGTATCATCTCCATTACCAACAATACATCTCGTTCTGTTGAAGAAAGCGACCTTAACCCTCATGAGCCCTTTCCAGAACGGCGATTCTGTAGGTCTGAGAGTGACTTGGGATAAAGTCTTTGAGTGCAGATATTTACTACGTAAAATCTGCGCCCAAGTTGCCTCTGTCTCAGACGACAACTTAAACAGCCACTTACTAAGGAGGCATCTGTTTTTGACTTCAAGGTTTTCAATACCAAGTCCTCCTTGGTCCTTTGGTCTGCAGATAATATCCCATTTGGCCAATCTGTACTTCCTCTTAGACTCATCACTCTGCCAAAAGAAGCGAGAACGATAAAAGTCTAGCCTTTTCCTCACCCTCACTGGTACCTCGAAGAAAGATAACAGAAACATAGGTAAACTCGTGAGCACCGAGTTAATCAGAATCACCCGGCCTCCATAAGACATGAGTTTTCCTTTCCAACAGCTTAGTTTCTTCTCAAATCTATCCTCGATGCACTTCCACTCACCATTCGTTAACTTACGATGGTGTATTGGAATACCAAGATATGTGAAAGGTAGAGACCCAATTTCACACCCAAACAATTGTGTATAAGCTTCCTGTTCGTCTTTGGCTCTACCAAAACAGAACAACTCGCTTTTATGGAAATTAATCTTCAGCCCAGACAATTGTTCGAAAAGGCATAACACTAGCTTCATGTTCCTCGCTTTGGCCAAATCATGTTCCATAAAAATGATTGTATCATCAGCGTATTGCAGGATGGACAGACCACCATCCACCAGATGAGGCACCACTCCCTCCACCTGACCGGCCTCTTTGGCCCTCCCAATCAGGATCGCTAACATATCAACCACAATATTGAACAAAATAGGCGACATAGGATCGCCCTGTCTCAGACCCTTGTGCGTTCGGAAGTAGTGGCCTATGTCATCATTAACTTTAATGCCAACACTGCCTTTTTGCGTGAAAGTTTCCACTTGATGTCTCCAGCGCTCATCAAAACCCTTCATTCGTAGAGCTTGCTGGAGGAACGGCCATTTGACTTTATCATAGGCCTTCTCGGAATCCACTTTGAAAATAACCCCATCTAGTTTTTTCGTATGAATTTCATGTAGCGTTTCATGAAGAACGACAACCCCTTCGAGGATGTTCCTATCCGGCATGAAAGCCGTTTGAGAAGGTTGAACTACAGCGTGCGCTATCTGAGTAAGCCTGATCGTGCCAACCTTGGTAAATATTTTGAAACTGACGTTGAGAAGGCAGATAGGCTGAAATTGCTCAATTCTCACGGCATCTGTTTTCTTAGGCAACAACGTTATCGTTCCAAAATTAAGTTGGAACAGCTGCAAATGTCCCGAGAACAAATCATGGAACATCGGTATCAGGTCCCCTTTGATAATATGTCAACACTTCTTGTAAAACTCAGCCGGGAAACCATCCGGCCCCGGTGCCGTATTACTTTTCATCTTGGCAATAGCCTCGAAAACTTCCTTTTCCGAGAAAAGGGCAGTTAACACATCATTCTCCACAGAAGTAAGTTGAGGAATATCGCTAACCCTAGACTCATCCAGGGATACACAGCTCTCCTCTGGTGGTCCAAACAACCGTTTATAGTATTCAGTAATGTAGATTTCCAGGTTGTCCTGGCCGACTATTGTACCCTCATCTTGCTCTAGCTGGAAGATCCTCTTCTTCCGGTGCTTGCCATTGGCAATCATGTGGAAGAACTGAGTATTCGCATCCCCCTGGACAACTTTTCTCACCTTTGCCCGCAATGCCCACTTTAATTCTTCCTCACGGAGCAAATCCTTCAGCCTCATCTCAGCCTCATGCTTAATATGAAGCTCAGTGGGTAACAGAACCATAGTTTCTGCTTTTATGTCTAAGGTTTGTATAAGTGAAAGGAGTCTTTCCTTCTCGACCTTATACACTCCACCTAGATGTTTAGCCCACCCATGAAGGAAGCTTCTGAGATGCCTAATCTTGTTCTGCCATCGTTCAATGGCACCTGTACCTCCTACATCTCTGGCCCACTCTCTGGCAACAAGATCCAAATAGATGTGTCTAGTTGCACTACAACGATTCCTCGATTCCTCTTAAGGCATGAGTTGTCCGCCAAGTCCAGTACAAAGTTACCGCACAACCATATGGATCCACCTTATCATTTGGAGACAATGTAATAATAAAATTAAGGCACAATTGTCTAAATAATAACTATGGAATAATGCAACAATATTTTTAAAAGAGATAAATGTTGTCCGAAGGTCGCAAACTCGCAACGGAAGTAGGAGAACCGAGCTACCTTGTGAAGGGCGAGCTCACTTTGGACATACCTAGGGCTGAACTATGTGTTGGCCAGGATCTAGCGGCAAAGAGGAACTATGACAGATTATTGCCAAAGATTGTAACGATGCTATTTGATGAACGAAACCCTCTTTACCCGTAAAAAATTGTAGCTGACAATTCAAAAGATTATCTGCAACTTTTTGCATACGATGTACACTAATGAACTTGGACGGTCTATAGGCTTTTAGCATATGCCTGACCAATATTGAATTATGCTTAATTAAAATACACAATACCTAAAGTAGACAGCTCAGCAACCACTACTACAAAATGGTCCCACAAATGATTCAAAAAATCCCAGAAATGCCCCTCTTAAACCCTCTATAAATACCACGGCTCTTCATTTCTTCCCTTCCTTTTCCTCCTCCTCCTTCCTAAATCACTCAATTACCATTATAACCTTATCATGCCGTTCTCAGGTTCGGCCTCCCTCCAAACCTTCGCGCCACAGAATGACGGGTTCGGAACGAACACGGAGCAAATTCCGATCGAAGATGCGGCGGCAGCGGCCTCGCCGCCGATGACGGACGCCGCTGCGGTCGGCGTCGACACGGCGGACGACATGGACGACCGGAGGCTCAGGCGGAAGATCTCCAACCGGGAGTCGGCGCGCCGGTCGCGCGCACGCAAGCAGCGCCACCTCGACGACCTCCGTGCCCTCGCCGCAAGCCTGCGGGGCGGCCGCCGCGAGCTCGCGGCGCGCGTGCACGCCGCGCGTAGCCGCGTCGCCATCGTCCTCCACGCCAACGACGAGCTCCGCGCCGAGGCGGCCGCCCTGAGCCGACGTCTTGAGGTGGCGGCTCATCGCGCGCTCGCCCTCAACCAGCTGTACGCCGCGGCCGCCGGTCTCGGCGTCGGGACGTTCGAGCAGGCCGCTGCCTCGCTCATCGCGTGGAGCTGATGGGCGCCGCGCGTGCGTGCATGCATCATGCACGTGCACGGGTAGGGTCTACGTACTTTCTCTGGTAAACGGTAAAGAGAAGGCACGACGTACCGTGGGATAGCTAGCTAGCTTCATCAGTCCTGAAGTGAGTGTCAAAGAAAAAAGCTTTCGGTCCTGAAGTCTTGTGATTGGGTAGATATATCAGTCACCAAGTAAAAGAACGGGACACAATGGCACGACTAATTCGTGACCAATGAAGGCATAAAAAAAACGTTGGAATGTAATGTTATTACTATACCAAACTCTAAACCTTGTGTCCGTCGACTGGTTCCCCCTGTCCTGCTGGCTCCATATTTTCTCTTCAGTGGTTCACGTAGCATCATTCAGTGGTTCTGACATGAGCACTGGTATATCTCGCCATCAACAACAACGCATAAATAGTGGTCTAAATTGATTATGGTGAGATGGATCTTGGCCATTAATCTCTATTAGTGGAGGCGATCGACAATCTGTCGATCGAGTCCCATGATTGGCAGCGTACGTAGTACTACGTCCTTGTTTAATTAGTGGTGGGCAGGCAGGCCAGATGCTCTCTGCTTTGCTTTCCAGGTTAGTTCAGCAGAGAGTAGTGTAATGTAATGTGCGGCCCCTGGCTAAGCAAAAGCTGTCTGCTTTGGGCGTTAATATCGTTTTCGGGTGGGATTAGATTTGTATTTTGTGCGGGTATCCGGTCGCGCTCGCCACGTCGAAAGCGGGGAGCGGGGCGCTTCACGTCTCCGAATTCGTGGTTTAGATTCGGTAACGATCCTTTTTCGGGTGATCGCATCTGATTATGCTTTGCGTTACATACCTTAATCTCAACTCGTCGCAAGGAAAGGAAAACGTAATCTCGGCCCGGTGCGTCGTTTTTTTTTTTTTTGCGAGAGAAATTTCCAATCTATTCATCAATCATGGCAGTACAGAGAACACAAGACACGTCCAACTTACACTAGTTATCTTCTTCGTGATGATGGAACTAACCCAACAGAGTTCAAGTACTAGACTTTGTATTGGTGGCGGCATTTTACTGAATTTATTTCGGTCATTTGGCGATGTGCGTTTAGTGGAGTAGATGTTCCTGTCGACTACGAAGTCATCTGTAGCGACTTTGTCAATCCAAAGATGATATGTCCGCCCAGTCTCTCAGAA